ATTTAATAGATATAGTAAATTCATTAGATTTATATGTTAGAAGTTCTGAGAAAATGTATTCTCTAAGCAGTTGTTTTTCTTTTTTTTTTAAAGAATTATTTTATTTAACTTTATTTATTTATTTAATTTCATTTGACCAGAGGAGGGCAGAGTGAGAGAGAGAAAGTGAGAAAGCAAGCTGCCAGGTCTGGGATTCAAACCACTGTCAGCCATGTCGGAGTCCAGTGTCCTTAACCATCACACCACCTGCTGGTCCTTCTCTCAGCAGTTTTTTTTTTCTTTTAAGAATTATTTTATTTATTTTTATTCATTGTCATTAGTTTGTTTTATTTTTTTGAAGTTGACCACAGAGAGACAGACAGAGAGAAGGAAAGTAAGAAAGCAAGCTGCCAGGTCCAGACTTGAACCGCAGTCAGCCATGTGAGAGTCCAGCTGCCTTAACCACCATGCCACCTGCCAGCCCCCCTCTAAACAGTTTTTAAGTAGCATCTTCATTGAGATATAATTCACATAGCATAAAATCCACCCTGTGAAGTATACAATTTAGTGGGTTTTAATATGTTCACAAAGTTGTGCAATCATCACCACTATCTAATTTTAGAATTTTTCATTAGCCCAAAAAGAAATCCTATACCCATTAGCAGTCACTCCCAATTTCTAATCAGATTTTTAACTAAGAGTAAAGAACCTTTTTAAAGTATAGATAAGGAATCAAGTGGTAGTTCATTTTCTGTAGCAGCCATAGAAACTAATTCTGAGATATGGCAAGAATTTTGGAATTATCACCCTAAATCAATGCTCTGGGGAAGTCTTGGTTAAAATCAAGGAGCCCTATTCATAAACTCACTATGGATATTCCCATTGTTTTCTTTCTAGGGACAAGATCAAGACGAATAGAACTTGGTAGAGAGCTGAATGTTCTGGTCCTCCCTGTGAAGAAAGATTGTCATCTGCAAATCAACCAGAGGGGACTCCTTTCTTCCACCACTTTTGAGCGTGGCACCGTAGTCATTCCCAGTGCTTGAGTGCGTAACTTCTCTGTACCAGCTGGACTATTTCATGGAGCCTTTCCTGTAGCTACTTCAGACCTTGCAGTAAAGTCGTAACTTGAGTAATTCCTCATAGTACCTTGCTGCGGTGTGATTGGCGCCTGTTGCAAAAGAGCCCAGAGCCTCTTTAGACCTCGTGTGCCCTCAACTCTCCATCTCATTCTCATGAAGTCTACTGTCCACAGTCTCCCCAGGATTCTGAAGCTCCTTCCCCATTCCAGATACAGCAGATCCTGCTGTTGCTCTGTAACCAAATATTGTATTTGTCCTGAACCTCCAGCTAGGGCCTGGGGAATCTGGCAGTGGAACACAGCAGCTAAGCATGTCCTGATAATTCAGTCCCAAGGCCCTTCCTCCTCATATGCATCCCTCCTCTACTCTCTGATTCAGACGTTTGCCTTCTTCCATCTGATCGTATTCTCATTGTGAGGGGTAGGTACTTTGTGTTAGAGCTTATTCAATCGATGCCTTGATTTGATTTTAAAATCATTTGTATACTTCCATTCTGTTAATTAAAGCGTTCCAAAAGTTGTCTTGGAATTTTTCAGTTAACTATTTGGTTTCAAAGATCTTAAGTGAAAAAATACCTTCTGGTCCGTATTGAGTTTGTAAAGGACAGGAAGTTGCATGTTTATGCTTCTATCAGCATTTCCCCGATGTTCTGTACCTTTGTCCTGTTCCTTTGTAGTCTTCTGAGGAATTCAAAGTTCTTACATGACGATCCACTTGACTAGTTGCAAAATAGATTATCGAAGGGAGACGTTCTTTTGAGTTTCATTTGAAAAATGCTCTAGGTCTTCATAATTTCCCTTTTCTTTCATTTTATCTAGTTTTAGAATTGTCAGCTCAGTTGCTTTTCATAATTCTTTACTTTTTTCAAGAAGTTGCAAGTGGGCATTGATTAGCAGAGGACTTGGAGTAAAGAAATAGAGATGATGTCAGTCCAGATGTAAGGCCAGTATCTTACACAACTCCATCGGGAGTGTTTCTCTTCACTCTAATTTTTCACAGATACATCATCGATTCTGTGATACCCGCAGAAATGTTTCAGTCCAATTTTGAAGTCTCCAGTCTACTGATTTAGGAGTTTGAATGTGCGAAGTCCTTTCCCCTCCTTTAGCCATAGGATGGTATCAGTGCCATCGTCCCTGCTGCCACCAGAGTGGCAGATTTTTTCCTGGGAGAGTTGTGTTCCTACCAGCTATGTGTGGCTTGATCGCATTTCTGTTTCTCTTAGCTCTACTGAATCAGATTTTTTTTTTATTTCATTGTATGACCTAATCTTATGGTCATTCTCTTCATCTTTAGAAAGATTGCATCTCTTCCATCGTTAGAAGGATCTCATCAGGGAACTCCTATCTAAAAGCAATCAGTAAAAGAAATACTAATGTCCTTCCTAGAGACTGGGGAGAGGTGATGTACCATGTGGAGGCCCGTCCATGTGAAAACCCGGTCAATGTCTTGGAATGGGGCTGTTCTATCAGATTATTTTCTTGTGGCATAAAACATGCAAAAAATAATCCTCCTTTACATTTAAAGACCCGAGCTTCCTTGTAAGCATTAGATTGTATATTAGTATTTGACCAGGCCCCAGTTTCCAGCCAGATTCCTTTATACTTTCAAGGATAATACACTGCAGGGAGAAGGAGGCCGCAGACTCAGGCTGTGTCACCTCCCACGTAGTTCTGGCAGTGTTTTTAGTATTTGAGAAATGCCCATTCATTGCTACACAAGAAGCATGGTGTAAAGGTGAATATGGAAAATATGGTATAGAAAAACCCTGTCACATTCTATCTTTTACAAGTTTTTTTTTCAAAAGTAAAAATTTATTTGGGATCCAGCTCTGGGATCTGATGTTTAGGATACCTAGGTCCCACCTGGCAGACTGTGAAATATGAAAACTCTTTTCTTTTGAATTTATTATTTAATTTTATTTATTATCATTTATCTTCAATTTGCCCAGAGAGAGACAGAGAAAGGGAGAGAGAGAAAGCAAGCCACCATGTCTGAGACTTGAACTGGGGTTGGCCATGTGGGAGTTCAGCACCTTAACCACCACACCCCCTGCTGATCCCCAAACTGTGCAATTCGAAATCAGGCCCCAGCAGCTTAAAAAACACACCTAGCACACGGGCATGTGTGCCCAGAATGTCCACAAATGGAAAAATGGGGAAGGAATTGTGATGTAACTCTGCCTCATTGGAGGTGCTTTCTCCTCTCCTACTCTTTCTTTCTCTCTCTCTCTAGAGAGTGCACACGCCCTCTGGTAAATTTTAAAAAAACATTCTAATGTTTAATGAGTTAATTGGTAGTACTTTGCTAATATGCTTTTTGACTGACTTACCATGCATCGGACCCTAGTGCTGTCTAGCTCCTCCTGTCTTCTTCCTTAATAATCTCACTGTGCTTCTAAAGTAACCACAAGAAGAGTGGCAGGAACCTCTTACTATTTTCACAGGTCATCAACCCATTTATCCAAGTATTCATTTATCCTTTTCGTTGTGCACACATGATTCTCCAAACTTAAGCACATCCCTTTCACGGTTTGCTGGCTTTGTCTGTAAACAAATGGTCAGATTTCTATCCATAGGCTGTGATATAAATAGATTTTTTTACCTTAATTCAGCCAAATTCTTCCCCATTCCTTTGTATCATTCTCTCATTTATATATTTAGGGGCCATGTCTACTATTTGAAATAATGCCTGGTTCATAGTAGGTGCTTAATAAATATTAGTTGAATCAAAGAATGGAAACTGACAGACATTACCTTGGGTAATGGGGGCAATTACATGGGGGCAACATCTTTCTAAGTTTTGAAGCTATCCTTGCCTCCACATGAAAAAGAATGTAGTCAGGAGCTGTGGAACTACCAAATTGCCTTTTTCTAGTGCTAACAGATGACTTTAAAATATAGAGAAATGCGAAGAAGGAAGTAGGGATGGATCTACATGAGGCATCTGATCCTCTCTCTGTCTTCGAATGTCTGATTTTGGCTCCCTAATACAGGAGTTCTTTTCATCCCAACAGTGACATGAGTTTCTAGTCTTGCTTCTACCACCCAGAGAACTTTCACACCCAGCATCCCATTTGACCCTTGCAGTGCCACGAGGTGGACCACATGATTGCGGTTTGCCAAGATAACACAGTAAGTGAACAGAAAGACCCAAGTGAGTAGTTGGGTCTTGTCATTCCTGGACTAGTGCTCTGTACAATGCACCAGGTATAATTAGCGTTTCCTCTTTTGAGGAATTTCTTGGGTATGTTCATCCTCAAGAGTAAGCTCTAAACCAAACATTTTCTATAATGCAAGGTAATAACCAATCTGGAGAGGTTTTCTTTTGTATGTTGCCATTTTGGCGTAGTTAGAGGAGATAATCAAATGGATTTGGCAGCTTTTACCTCGAGAGACAGGCAACTTAAAGTGTAGAGCTGTAGGTAATTACTAGAGTTATTTAGACTTAATTCTATGTTTGAATGGATTCAGTGCTCCCTGCCAGCCCTTTCCTACAAAGACTCCAAATTTGAGAGTTGATGCTTTTTTATCTTTTGGTGGACTGAATTACAGCTTCACTTCGAATTTCTTGCATATTTACAAGTGTATTTCTGTTGCTGTCACTTCTGAACAAGAACTTGGCTCCCTACCAGATTCTTGGAGCACTCCCTTTTTCTTCTCCGTTCTTTGGCAACATGACTTTAGTGTCATTATCGTTGTCTATATCCGGTGGTGCTGAGAGGTCCGAGTCCACATGAACTTTTCTTTCCCTTTTGTAGATGATCTGCTTGTTTCCCCTGGGTGCCTGGGTTTCTTTGTTTATCCTTGAAATTCAGTAACTTCATGGTAGAGGCTATTTGGATTTTCATTCTGCTGTTTGGATGTGGGGGAATAAGGAGCCATGCAAAGCCTCCTTTGGACATGTTGCCTGGGTCTCCTTGGGAGAAAGATTCCCCTGACATTTCCCTATTCCCACTAGTTGTCACCTTGGCTAGAGTACGGCAGTCTCGTACTTCCGCTCTGCTGGCTTGGATCTAGTGAGGCCTTTGTGATCATGTTTCTCTCTGCTCCTGCTCCTGGCATTCTTCCCATTTGGGGTGCTGGAGGGAACGGACACGATGGGCATCTAAGACTGCACCCTCCTCTCCTAGTTTTGGTTCCTAGAAATGTGCCCACACAGAGGGCCCTCAGCTCCTCCCACTTCTTCCAGAAATCCTGGTTTCTCCAAGTTAAGAAGTGACTGGTGGAGTTCTTTGGAACCCTCTCATTGAAGCCCCCAGTAATCATGGCCTACTTGAAGGTGGGAAGACGTGCCTGGCAAATGCGAGACTGCTTCTTCGGTTAGTCCCCAGCTTCATTGTACCTTTTCAGGCACTCCCTGGAGTCCATGGTATAGGGGTGTGGCTTTTATTAGTTTCATTATTAGACAGCTTCTTGTTCAATTTTCAGATGTGTGTGTTGGAGGGCAGGAGTACTTATCTCAACATGCATGTATCTGCCATCTCTCTCAGCAGTCCAGGTGCTTAAACATTGACTCTGAAGATAGTGTCCTTCATAATCTATATGTTAGTAAATAGAGGGGACCAATATTGCCAGCAGGAAAGGACCATTAACAACCTAATCAATACAGGATTTTTGTTTACTGTTCTGTGTGGAAAGATAACTTTGAACTCAGGTTCCTGTTCCATTGATTAGAGATAGCAGTACCTTCTGACGTTTTAATGAACTTAAGAAGTTATAGGCCACTGACAGTTATTAATTAGTTAAATACAATAGGATATTTCCAACTCATCCATCACCAGAGTTACCTGTTAGGAACAGGTTGCTGGTCAAGCTGTCCCACCATGGGGTTAGTTAACCCTTGTGAGAAATGTACACGGGCTTTCTTGCCTGTCTTTTCAATCAACCCAGTTTAGAATTTGGTCTGTTAAGAAATAGAAAGGTGTGGGACCAGCAGTTAGCGTAATGGCTATGTCGCTGGACTCCCACATAGTCGACTGCGGTTCACGTCCCGGACCCGGTGGCTTAAAACTCACGCCGGGTGCGTGTGGGTGCGTGCCCAAGATCCTGAGAGGAGAATGGAGGAGAAGGGATTGCGGCGTGGCCATCCCCCCTGGGGGGTGATTTCTCGCTTTCTGTCTCTATGTCTCTCTCTGTCTGTCTGGTGAGCACACGCACCCTATAGCAAAAACAAAAACAAAAACAAAAACAAAAAAACCTCTCTTAAAAAAAAAAGAAATAGAAAGGTGTTACGTCTTACTTGGGATTATTTTTGTTATTGTGAATAGACATTGAAATGGGCTCTAGGCCTGGGGCCTCCCATCTAATCACGTAGGTTACTGCGTGGAAAGTGCATTTGCAGGCAGATCACGGGCTGGGAGTTTTATTTGGCCTCTTTGTCAAATTACAGCCTCCCTGCCTCAGTGGCCTGCACATGCCACTAAGCAGCCAGCTGCAAAACTTTGTCACCCTCAAGCTCGAGCATAATGATCAAGAAGCACAGCGATAGCCAGACTCCACCCTGGGCAGTGGAGCAGTGC